ACACACACACACACACACACACACACACACACACACACACACACACAGCTACTGAAAGGAAAAAATGCCAGAATCACATATACAATCTCACCTATGCTCAATGGGGCTGATTCCATCCCAGCCCCCAGGCCCACGCCCCAGCCCTGCCCTGCCCTGCTCAGACTTTTGTCACCTCCCTACTTGGGCTGTGAACCCTTCTCCACGAGGTATATATATATATATATCACTGTATATAAATCATAAACATATATATGATTTATTTATTAGAATACAGTGTTCTGCCTGCATGCCAGAAGAGGGCACCAGATCTCACTATAGATGGTTGGAAGCTACCATGTAGGTGCTGGGAATTGAACTCAGGTCCTCTGGAAGAGCAACCCGCACTCTTAACCTCTGAGCCACCTCTCCAGCCCCTCCACTTGCTTTTTGCTCTGTTCCAGTCTAAATGCCCTGAGGCCTACCCTGGCCCCTGGCAGCTTGAGCACCTTCATGGGCCTGGTATCCAGGTTCCCCAACAAGTTGTGGGTGCCCTGGAACCCGTAAGAGGCTGCTGTTTCATGGGAAGCTTGGAGGTCATCCCACACACTCCATAACTGCTGCCTTGGACAGAAGGAACCTACTCCAATGGCTCTCAAACGCAGGTAAGTTGCTTCCTATTTGAAGCCCCTGGAGACACATCTAGCCTAAACCATTTGCAGCCATGAGGGAGACACCAGCTGCCTGGAAAATGAGGAACGGGGTGGGGTGGGGACCAAGGTTCTCTAAACCTCCACACACACAGGGATGCCAGGTCTTGAGCTAGAAAGGGGGTGAGAGGTGATGGCCGACTCTCAGGAGACCAGCCCTTTCTCTTTTCTCATAGGAGAAACTCACCGACAGTTGGGGCCAGAGCCTGAGCAAGCTCCTGTCTGAAGGACCCCTGCCTTCACCAGGGAGAGGCTGAGGAGACTACTTTAAGCCTTCTCTTGTTTGGAGGAGATTACCATTTTTGGAAAGGAGGAGGAATAGACAAGAGGAAAGACTAGACTAACTAATGGGTTTGGGAATGAATGGAGGGAAGGACAGGTAGGTGCATTCTGGGATAGACGCATGGATTTGGGGGTAAAGGGATGGAGGAATGAATTTGGGGGACGGATGGGTAGATGGATGCGTGGGTAGGTAGGTGGACTTCGGGGTGGATGGGATAGATGGGTGAATTTTGAGTGGATGGAGGGATGGAGGGAAGGAGGGAGGAGGGGAGGGAGAGTTCTCTGGACGGGTCGGCAGGTGTGTGAATGCAGCGGTGGGTGTGTGGGTCCAGGCCTGTGTGCAGGCGAATGGATGAGTGTTGCTCAAAAAAATTTTTTTTCTACATCTCTAAACTGTGAGGTCCTGGCGTCCCCCAGAGGCCAGAGTCTCTAACTGCCCAGCTCCCTTTAAATCCCTGGGGCACTACGAACCTTTAAATTCTGATTTAGGTCAGAGGCCTGGAAAACAAAGCCATCTTGAGACCTGAGCCGGTTCTGACTTGTTCCATGCCCTTAGACATAGCCAATCCCCGAGGCTCAAATTTCTTGTGTGGAAAATAACAGTCAAGCCAAATGCTAGGGTTGCTAAGAGACAAACCAAATGATGATGTGTCTGAGGAAGTTGATAACGTGACACCTGAAAGACACTTGAGAAATGTGATTTCCTTCCCAGAGGCACCTGAACCTGGGATTTCATCTATGTGTCCCCATAACCATAGGCACACACAGATACGCATGCACACAAATGACACAGAATAGCCTTCTAGTCCAAGTATGTAGAACAACGGTGAGTCCGAAAGGCAGGTGGGGGACACATTTATTCTCCAGGGGTTGCAGGCTGGGTTGGAAAGGGCCCAGGCTCAGTGGTGGAGGATTCTGGAATTAAGAATTGAGGTGGGGGCCCTGAGGTCTCCTGGGCTTTGGCCTCCTGGGCCTGGGCCAGTTGGGCTGTGTGTTCAAAGGCAGCCTGAAGCAGGTGGGAAGCAAGGCAGGTAGTCCAAGTGACAAGATAGACCAGGTTCCAGGACGTGAGTGTGGTCACGTGCTCCGCCCACAAGTAGAGGTGCCTCAGCAGTGCCAGGGCTCCGAGCAACACCGAATTCTGTAGGAGGGTCCGGGCAGGCAAGAGGACACTGTTAAGGGCCCAAGGGATGCCTCAAACAAGCCAAGTCTGAGCCCCAGCACCCACAGGGTAGAAGAAAAGAAGCAAACTCTGCTGTTCCTCTACGCCCACTTGGGTTTGGGGGGTTTGGTTTTGTTGTTGTTGTTTGGTTTCTCTGTGTGGCCATGGCTGTCTGGACTCACTTTGTAGAGCAGGCTGGCCTCAAACTCACAGAGATCCGCCTGCCTCTGGCCCTGTCTCCCTAGTGCTGGGGTTATAGCGCAGACACCAGCATGCCCACACGCCTGCATACACACACACAAATAATGTTTTCTTTTAAGTAACACTATGCGTGTAGTCGCTCACACCTTTAATCCTAGCACTATTGAATGCTGAGACAGCCAAGGCTACACAGAGAAACCCTGTCCGAAAACAAAAAATTAAAAGTAACACTCCATGGGGCTGGAGAGAGGGGTTGGTGGCTAAGAGCAAGCTAAGAGCTCTTGCAGAGGACTCCAGTTTGGGCTCTGTTGCCCACATCAGGCTCACAACTGCCTGTAACTCCAGCTCCAGGAGGCCTGGTGCTCTCTTCTGGCTTCTGAGAACACCTGTGTGCATGCACACACACACTTTAAAAATTAGATGTTTTTAAAGAGCGTGGTAACTGGCCCCCAGGTCCTGCCCATGGCTGGTACTGAGCAGCTGTGGCCACAGCCAGAATTCCCCAGGCCAGTCAGCATCCCCAGCCGGCATCCCTGCCGACCCACCTGGCTGGGCAGCCAGCCCAGACTGAAGCGATGGGCTTTCTGCACCAGCCTCCAGGTCAGCAGCAGCAGGAGCAAGGCCACCAGCATCAGGCTGTGCAGACAGGATAGAAGCAGGTCCCTGACCCTGGATGCAGGTCCCCCCAGAGCTTCCCAGGCGCCGAGCTGCTGCAGGGCCAGTCTCACGGTGCAGGTACAGCACAGCCCAACCCCGTACACCAGCCTGGGTCCACAGAGGACCAGCCACATGGGGACCCAGAGCAATGCCAGTCCAGCTCGAAGGGCTAAGCCAAGACAGCAGGTTACGGTGGTTCCTGGAAGCAGGTGGACCTGGTCACTGCCGGAGCCCCTGGCCTCCTGGGCCAGTCCCAATACCCAGTGCTGAAAGGCGGCCATCTTCAGGAGCAGGAAATCATACAAGTGCCTGCGGTTCTGGATCAGCTGTGGGAGGATGGGGACCCAGAGTTAGCAATGTCACCACTGGAGAAACTGCCTGGTCATTGTGGGCCAAGCCTCAGTTTACTTGTGAATGCATAAGAATAGTCTCTCTTTTATTTTGTTTATGTATTTATTTGATTTGGGTTTCTTTTTAGGTGGGGTTCTCTCGATATAATCCTGACTGTCCTAGAGATCACTGTGTAGACCAGGCTGGCCTTGAACTCACAGATATCCTCTTGCTTTTGCTTCCTAAGTACTGTGATTAAAGGCATGCACCATTGTGTCCTGTCTTGAACCTTTTAAGAGTGACTTCCAGGCATGGGAAAGGAGCTCAGCTGTGGAGAGCTTGCCTGGCATGCATGAGACCCTGGTTCAAGCCAGTAATGCCAGCACTCAGGGAAGCAGAGGCAGGTAAGTGGCTATGGGTTCGAGGCCAGCCTGGTCTACAAAACGAGTCCAGGACAGCCAAGGCTACATGGAGAAATCCTGTCTTGGAAAAAAAAAGGAGGAATGAAAGAAAGAAAACCCTGGGCTTTAGTCCCACCGCTGTATAAACCAGGAGGGGTGGTGCATGCCTGTAATCTCAGCAGTGGGGAGACAGAGGCAGAAGGATCTGAATTTTAAAATTCGTTGGCTGCATAGGAAGTTCATAGCTAACCGAGGCTACATGAAACAAACAAACAAACAAACAAAAAGAACAGAGACTGCTCAGTGGTTGAAGCTCTTTCCCCACAAGACTATTGACCTCAGTATAATCCCAGAACCCATATAAAGAGGGAAGGAGAGAAAACCAGCCCCCCAAATCTTCCTCTGACTGCCACATAGGTGCTACGACAAGCGAGTACTCACCACGAACATCACATCACAATAATCAGAATTCATAAGAATTAAAAACTGATAAATAAGTAAGATGACCTCCCCCTTAACTCTGCAGGATTTGAACACTGGCCAGTTGACTTTCCCCCAAGTTCTTGGGCTTGCCTGGAACCCTGGTTGCCCTTGGCATCATGAGAGATGCTGGGAATAAAGGTATCATTAGGGACAGAGATGTAGATGTGGGGAAGGGTGACCGACTCAATCACAGACCTACTGTGAGAAGTATAAAAGGAGAAACAAGATTTCCAGGTTTGGGGCTGGAGAGATAGATGGCTCAGGGGTTAAGAGCAGGAGCTGCTCTTCCAGAGGTCCCGAGTTTGATTCCCAGCAACCACATGGTATAATGAGATCTGATGCCCTCTTATGGAGTGCAGGTATACATGCAGACAGAACATTGTATGCATAAGAAATAAATAAATCTTAAAAAAAGAAAAAACAATTTCCAGGGCTGAGTGGCAAGTTGGCCAAGGGTATCTTCCACTCACCGAGAGTGGGATTAATGGTAGAGCCTAAATACTCCAGCCCATGGGTGACAGAGGTGATCAACCCAGGCTCCCTAATGCCCTACAACCACGGGACCATCCGAGTCTAGGAACTGCAGGTTTTGAAGGACCAGGATAGGAAGCCAGGCATGAGGGGCACACACCTGTGGTCCCAGCAGAAGGTCAGGAGTCCAAGGCCAGTGAGTTTTGAGGCTAACCTTAGCTACATGGTTGAGGACAGCCTGGACCACTGGACCACATAGTGAGAATGTGGGGGGAGGGGAGAATGAGGAGGAGAAGAGAGGACTAGAGAAATGGCTCAGCAGTTGAGAGAGTGCTTGCTGCTGAAGCCAGGCAGTGGTGGCACACACCTTTAATCCCAACGTTTAGGAGGCAGAGGCAGGTAGATCTCTATGGGTTGTAGGCCAGCCTGGTTTACAGAGTGAGTTCCAGTACAGCCATGGTACAGAGAGAGAGAAAGAGAGAGAGAGAAAATTAGAGCAGGGTTCTGGTCTTAGCACCCACACAGCAAGCCAGCTTGGTCCAGTGTGTGCCTGCCACCCCAGCACTGAAGCTCTTGAAGAATCTCTGGGGCTTGCTAAGCTGTCAGAAAAACAAACAAACAAACAAACAAACAAATCTATCAGCTCCAAGTTCAGGGGATCAAAGAAATAAGGTAGAGAGTGGTAGGAAGGCCTTCCAGCGCCTCTGGCTTCCGGTGCACACAGACATGTGCCTTTGCACTCATCATACCCACTAGAAGGGAAGAGGGAGGAGGAAGGAATGGAGGAGGCAGGGGAGGGAGAAGGGAAGACAGAGGAAGGGGAAAGCAGCTCAGTGAGATGGCTCAGCAGGCAAAGGCTGCTTGCTGCCGAGTCTGACAACTCAAAACCCACAATGCTGGAAGAAGAGGACTGACTCCCAGCACGCGCGCGCGCGCGCGCGCACACACACACACACACACACACACACACACACACACACACACAAATAAAATATAAGCTTTTTAAAGGAAAGAAAGGGCTGGTCTAGTGGTGCAGGGCCAGGCAGATCTCTGGGCACTTAGGGCCAGCCTGCTCTAGATAGCAAGTACCAGGACAGCTGGGGCCAAATAATGACATCTTGTCTCAAACTACATATGAATAAAGAAAAAGAAGGAAGGGGAACAGAGAAGAGAAAGGAGGCAGGGAGAGGAAGGAAGGAAGATGGCCATGCCACCATAGTTTGGGGATGGGCCTTCTCCCTGATGGCTGGGAACGGCTGAATCTCTCCAGGTCTCCTGTCCCAGTCCTGCTTACCAGCATAGAGAGCCTCCCAACCTGCAGCAGAATTCTGAGGAGGCCAGATCGGACCCAGGGAGCAGCCTCCATGTCTGGCCTCCATCCATTCCTCCAGCCAGGAGAGGCAGGGTGACCTCACAGATGCCACAGGGTGGGGGTCCAGTTGCCATGGGGACCCAGTTGCCACATGAGACACTACCCCTTTCCCTAGATCCCCTTCCCTGATCCTCTGAGAGCTCAGGCTACACGGTGATCACAGGCCCGATGGCAGGCCCGATGGCTGACCCGTAGGGTCAATTCTCTATCTGCCCTGGGGGAAACAGCTCAGAGCAAATTTCAGAAGCAGCCTAGTTTACCTGTCAGGCACGAGTGGTGGGAGGTAGGGAGATGGGGAGAGAAGAGCAAAAAGGAGGAGGAAGGAGGAGATGAAATCTGTATGGCCTTGCCTTCCAAGCTGGACCCTAGGGTAGCAGATTTGCCCCAGGATGAGCCCCGATATAGCTTCCTCAGGTGCGACCCCACTGTCCTCAGCCCCAGACCTCCCTCCCTTATCAACATCGGGCTGGAGAACAAGTGTGCATTCTGTGCTGTGCAGCCTTGGAGTTCCCCCATACAGAAGATCGGGGATGACCGGCTGGGAGCACGGAGAAAGCAGTGGACGCTGTCTTGCACCACGCCAGGAGGCACCATTCCGGATCCCACACCCTGGAGAAAAAGCATGATCGCAGAGCAATACCTAGAAGGGCTCCGAGCGTGTGCAGTGCCGCGATGCGGCCGCGCGGGGGCAGGAGACACTGCGGGCCAAGCAGGGCGCTGGGCGGGCGTGAGAAAGTTTGATTTTTGGCCGATCACCTGCAAGGCCAGCTTCCTGGTTAACAGCCTGGTTGGGGCATCTGAGAGCACTCCTTGGGCTTTTCCCGTCAATGCCCGGGTTTACAAGAGGAGGAGCCACCCAGAGAGTCACAGTCTTGCCTTTATTTAACTCTCTCAAGCGTGCAGAACTGGGGATTGAAAACACCCAGCCTGGCCTCCATTTCTCTATGTATTTAAGGCTCATTCTTCTGCCCTGCACCTGCTTTTGAAAGGTTGCTGGGGGTTGTTTGTCTGGTTGGCTGGTTGGTTTGGGTTTGTTGTTTGTTATTTTGGGTGGTGGTGGTGATCCATCACTGCCTGGCCTATTTCAAGTTTTTAACTTTTTTTTTTTTTTAATTAATATGAATTGGATAAAGCCATTTTAGCAATACATACACATCTGTGTATATATATGTTCCCATAGGAATGTGCATGATGGCATATCTATCATTTTTGTATACTTCAGAAAATAATGAAAGAAAGTGTTAGAAATAAAATAATGGAGCCAGGCATGGTGGTGGTGCACACTTTTAATCCCAGCAGAGACAGGGAGATCTCCAGGTTCGAAGCCAGCCTAATCTACAGAGTGAGTTCCAGGACAGCCAGGGCTACCCTGAGAAACCCTGTCTTGAAAACAAACAAAAACAACATATGTTTACAGAGAGAGAGAGAGAGAGACCCTGTCTCAAAATAAAAGGGAGGAAGAAAATACTGGGCCAGTGCACAATACAGGCACTTGCTGTCAGGCCTATTGACCCGAGTTTGATCCTGGAGACACACAGTAGGAGGACAGAACCAAGTGCGGAAAGTTGAGGGTGGTAAAGTACAAGGCTAACAAGCTCAAGACTACTCCCAACACTGAGGAGAAAGGAAACCCAGAGGTCATGGAGCAAGAGCTTACTGCCAACCCTGATGACTTGTGCTCCATCCCCAAGGCCCACATGGTGAATAAAGACTGCCGAGTTTGTTCTCTGACCTCCACAGCAAAACCCTTGTCGTGTGCGTACCCACACCCACAGGAAGAGAAAAAAGGAAAGAGTTAACATTTTTTTTTTTTAAGTCAAAGGACCTGATGGGCACAGGAACCAAGATAGCTAAGAACAAAAGAAACCAAAAGAACCATCAGGTTTGAGTAAAGATTGTCAAATCTTGTTAGTAATCAAGGAGTAAAGTGACTCAAAGCCACAGTGAGATACTATCTCTCCTTCCTTAGAAAAACAAGAGAGTCAGGGGTTCGCCACGCACAAATGACTTTATGAGACAAACAGAAAATTATGCAGAGCCCAGAGCCTAATGCAGAAACTCAGAGAGCCATACAGGAAATGATTGTGCAAAGCTATCTATGAAACACATGGGAAACTAAAACTAGAAACTGACCAAGAGCTGAATGGGTGAATTAGCAGTACAGCAATTTAAAAAAATGTCAAATAATTTTTAAACATTTTAAAATTAAGAGGAATTTCACTATCAAGGCTTTTTCCCCCCCTGAGACAAGGTTTCTCTGTGTAGCCTT